ATGAAGAAGAAGGGAAAATTAATCTAGGTGAAGAGCAGGTTCACAGGGTTCTACAGTTTTGAGACCTAACGTACTATGTTCTTTTTCTCTGGAGATACCTTCTTACTGTCTAAAGATCTAGCAACCCCATAATCTTGGGACTGTCAGTCACCTCTTCCATTATGAGCCTCCTGAAAGCACTTTCAGTCAAAGTGTAGATAAATCTCAAAATTTAAATGGAAAAGGAACAGCAATCTGTATATTCTCTTCTTCAAGAAGATGTAGAAACAGCATACATCAAGCTGATCTTCTAACATGATGCTCCACAGAATATCTACTCACTTTTCATCCCAAACGTGATCACCTCTGTGGAAGACAACAAGGTTATTTTCAGGGTCCAGGGCCAACCCAGAAACTTGGCCTAGTTTGAGGTCTAACCCAGGCCAGTCCACAACCTCGTCTATGTGGAAATCTATCAAAGAAAGAAAGAAAGAAAGAAAGAAAGAAAAAAAAAGAAAAAAGACAGACATTCATGTAGTTTATTTACATAAAAACATAGAATTGGTTAACTGGCTTTTGGCGCGAGGACTGTTGGGGACCGTAAGGGTGTTTCTTACATGCAATATTTCTATTAATGCAATGCAAATTAATTCCAAGCATTGTTTTATTATAATAAAGCATATCTCATGCACAGGCACTGGCATCCCAATACACGTAGGATGACAGAAACTTCAAAATCACTTTTGACTCTGCTCTTTTCTTCATCTTACCATCATACAGGCACACAGATTCTAGATGTCTTAGGAGCTGTGTGAATATTCTCTATATTAAGAGACTTTAGGAACATACAATTACCATCCAAAATCAGCAGGCAAACTTAGATATTTTATTATTAACCTATTAGTGTTTTATTAAAAAAGTATATAACAGATCAGGAATCACTGAACCTCCTAAACATCAGAAGGGACTTTGCTTCTTAAAATAAGTTTTTAAGCACAAAGAAGGAAAAACACGGGAAAGCAAGAAAAATTCAAAAGCAGTAACAAGAAGTAAGTAAATCAGTAATTCTGTGAATTTTGCCTATGACATTTCTTACAGCATACATATCCATTAGGATATGAACACTTTTTAGAGCTAAGTCAAACAATATTACACACATAAATAGGAAACAGATGTCAAAAGAAGAAGAGATCCAGCAGCGTAGAACATCTGCCATTATTTATGTCTTAGCACCCTATTTTTAAGACTATCAAGTCATTTCTGAATAACACAAACGTGATTTTTACACTATATAATCAAAAGCATAGTATTTAGCAAGTGAATTACTATTAAAATGCTGGATACTTCTCGTGGGTAGAGTCCTTAAGTGGTAACACTCTTCAATGAGAGAAGTAAAGAAGATGAGAAGAAAAATAAACCTTCAAACCTTTTTGCTTCTTCCACAGGGGTTCAAATATTTCTTACGCTGCTTTTTTTTTTTTGAATAGGGAAAAAAAAATGCAGCATTTTTTCCCCCATGATCTCTCTCCCTCACTGCCGCCAAAAGGAAAAAATAGGGTCTAGTGCTTAACAGTGATGGTAAGTGAGAGGAGAAATTTTTGAAATTCTGGAGAGACAACTCAAAAATCTGCTTTTCCCCAGGCTCCAGGGTAAAGTATCATAGAAACCTAGAGTATTGCTGGCCACTACTATCGTTATTGTGAACCTTCCCTGTAGTCTTTCAAACGTTTACCAGCAATTTTGAGGGAGAAAGGAAGAACTGAGCTGGGAAGAGAGGAAGGAAGACCTGGGGAAGGCAGAGGACCAAAGACGGCTTCCTTTCTCTCAGCCCGGTTCATCTAATGGTTTTACCCCCTTCTTTCTCTCACCTGGTGTTAGTCTCCCCTCAGGCAGCTGAAACAAGCAGCTTGCTTGGCATACTAGACAACTGAGAACAGCAGAAAAGGGACAGAATATAAAACAGATTTCTCTGATGAGGACAGTATTTTTCTCTCTTATAGTAACATCTCTTAAAAGTGCACAGGAAGGTCTTACAACATTTCCCCCCATTTTCTCAGATCGCTTCTCATTGGTATATTTTTCAGGCTCAGGCTGAGGGAGGCCAAAGGCTGAGCAGATGTTTCCCAACACGACCTCGCTGCTGCATTTATACACGCAGCATCCTGGATGGTCAGTCACACAACCTAACATGTGTGCCTCACAGCTCCCCTGGCGCACCGAGGTTTTTGAGAAGTTTTATTTTGGAAATAAGCTATATTTTCAAACTGAAAATGCACAAGAAGATATGTCTGGGACGGAAAAACCTATTGCATAATCCCTTGATTTACCAAAATTAGATACACTGTGGGTGAAAGCGCTTGCTCGCTGCTACCAAAACACACACACACACACCAACCACCAGACACACACACACACACACACACACAAAGTCTCATTCATTTGCACTGAGAGCTACAGAAACACTGAGGATGTATTAGAGCTAACTTTAGGTCCTCCTAGCATACTTACTGAATGAAGATATAATTTGACCAACTAGGGTGGGCAGGATCAAATTTAGCTTTACATCTTTAAGTTGCAACTAAAAACGTAAGAAGATGTTCATGTAAGAACAGACTGACACTGATTAAAGATCTGCACACAGAAGGCTAGAACTTGAAAAAGTTGCAAAGTTTTGGCCACAGGGATTAACTTCTCCCAATAGACTACTTACCACGCTGCTTGGAGGAGGTGGCGGTGGCTTGCTCTGGTATTTTTAAAAGATTATTGGATGGTATTCCACCCCCTCCCCCCCCAAATCAATGACAGGATTAATATAGTCGTATCATTAATTTTAGTAAAAGAAAAAAAAATCCAAAGGAAGCCTTCTAATTGTTAGAAAATCCTTCACACACACACAAAAAACAGAGTTTGTTCAGAGTAATTCAGGTATTTCTGACTTGCAGGTTTTTTATGTAGGTACCTATAGCCAAACTGAAGGTGGATACAAAGCAATTTCTTTGCTATTATGAGCAACCAGAGCTCTTTCCACTAGTATTCAACATGTTTCAGCACATGCTACACTTTGCACCCTTCATTTTGGCCCTAAGTTTGTGTGCTCTGCTGTGATCCCCAAAAACCAACCACTGGGCTATCACCCAGCCACGCAGAGCACGTGTCCCCCTTCACAACGTGCCAAAACATCCATGCTTTGAAATTAGGCAAATCACGATATTTAAGACATAGCACCCAAGCAGTTTGAGGGGGTTCAGCTGGAAGTGATCTTCCAGTGACAGGAAAAATTAAGAGGGACACAACCCCCCAAATCTGCAGGTCATACAATGCAATCTGACTGCTGTGATAACCATTCCCCCACTTCCATTTTACTTGGGAGAGATGCCAGCTGAGGACTGCAGTGAGGATGGGGTTGGGGGAAAGCTATTTCCCACATCTACATGGGGAAAGACAAAAACAGTGCTAAAAACCTACCATGGACTAGAAGATATATTTTACTTGTGTAGTTTCAGATACTACAGTTAGAGTAGTGTTAGAGAAACTCCGCAGCAAACAAAAACAAACCTAAAACCGGCATCTGTAGTGAATCCAAGGCAGTTAGCAAAACACCTAGAAGAAACTCTGCTGTGTAGTGATTTTAGCAAAATAAGAGTTCCAAGCTAGAAGACGCATTACGAAAAAAAATCATACATCTTCATAAAATATGCAGTACTTCTGTACAGTTCAACTGGCACTGGCAGGTGCAATAGCAGGTACACTCAAGCACAGTATGATTTTTGAAAGGAATAAAAGGATGGAAATTAGTGTCTGCATGGTAGTTGCTCATCCAAAAATCAGTCTGAACTACCCTGCATAAAACTTCTGCACGTTTTATGTCACACTGCCTCTCAGCCTCTGAGCCTTAATCAAAAACACTCAAGAAAAATCAAAAGGCTAAACACAGAAAGCCAAAATTTTGGCTTTTGTAAAATTTAGTTTCCCCAGAAGGCATGCACTACAAAATACAAAATTCCTACACTTACATTTTAGGGAGGTAAATATTTCTGATAGATTAAACACAATACTGTCACAAAAATCCCAACCTTATTACAACCTTTGTACTTTTGTATTTTCTCAATTTTTCAAAACTGGTTTATCATCATCTTTTATTTTTCCTTTGCAATTCTCATACTGAAAGTCCTTGCATTCAGGTGCAACTTAGGGAAATTCACTATTTACAAAAAAACCTTAGTTAATAAATTTAGACATCATATATCTACAACTGATAATGAATTGTCTATAAAACTGAGTAGTCTATGAAAGTTACACATAGAACCAAACGGATATGATTTTCCCATTAAAATGATTTACAATCAGTTTCTTTTTTTCCTCAAGTCATTGGTTTGTTGTTAATCAGATACCTAAACTAAGAACCAGGTCTTTTATCTTGCAGTTTAAAGTAATTCCTTTGATTCAATAAAACTATAGGGAATCACATAATTTAGAACATGCAAATCAGCCTCTAATCTCTCCGCAAGTGAAAGAACAAAATCTCTGTTTACTGACAAAATTACAACTTACTGCCCATAAATCCCTGCAAGCTCTTGTTAGCTCTTGACTTTACAAACTTTATCCATGCTGTATTTATTTGCCCTCGTCACAATAGTCACTTAAATCTTGAGAACTCTAAGCGAGCACTGCACAAAGGGGTTTTAACAACTGGAAAATTACACTGCTTGCCATAAATAAAAGGTAGAATTCCAACAACTGCACCCTGATTAGCAGACAGTCACAGAGTCATAATATAATCATGCTGCAGTAAGAGCAATAGTATAAGGTTATAAACATAAGATTATAAACCTTACTGAATGTATTGGTCGCTTGTTCTTTCAGGCTAGTTACCTGAAAAAAACTGGGATATTTACAAAGCTAAAAATGTTAAACTACTTCAATTTTGGTAATTTGTAAACAATTAAATTAAATGAATGCTGTAACTTAATAGAAAGCAGGATCTAGTCTTCCAAGATATTTACACATCTTTTAAATTCTTGATTACAGGAACTGGTATGTAGCCTATGAATTTAATATAGCAAAGACTGTACATACAACCTCATGAGATGGCATTTTTTTTTTTTTTTAAGTTAAAATAACTTTGTTTCAATTCCTCCTCCGAGGGAGGAAGATCTGCTAGAGAAGCAAAGTTCTATTCTTCTAAAATGTAAATACTTCCCAAATCAGAAACTAAACATGCGCTTAAAGATTTTTTCATTGCTATAACAACCTTTTTGCCAAAAGATGGCGCCGACAGCTTCTGCAGTTTGGGATTTCTGTAATGTTAGCAACATTACAAGCATTAAAAAACAAAAATAAACTTTTCCATGCAAGTATTTAATCATTTCAGCTTTGCTTTTTGCTGCAATTCAAGCAATGTTTCAAACGGTGCACTTCTCTTAGCCTTCCCCACTACCCTTCCCCTCCCACTCCCCTCAAAAAACCAAACTGTTCTGTTCTACAGTCAGGATTTGTGCCACATGGGGGGCCAGCTAAGCCATTTATTCAGTTCACTGACACTCGCTCCTCTCAATGAGTTAAAACAGAAAGGAAATTTCTTTCCCCCCCCCCCCCCAATCACATTTTCCAGGCTGAGCTTAAGAAACTGTTTTTGCAGAAATACACACACATTACTCTAAGCATTTGAGTAACGCCAGTCGCTCACGGAGTTATTTACGATTTACACTTACGTCAGGCACACGGCAACATCCCACTTGTTTTTTGCCTCTATGCCAAACGCTTGGCAGGCTCTCATTTAAACTAACTAGCAAAACATAACATTGGAAAGTCCTCATTTTCGGTCTTTCATTAAATACAAACCCAGAATTTTGCTGTATTTGAACACTGTAACAGAATCTCATGTAAGCAGAGACGTTACAGGTTAATATTTGGAACTGAAAAATCAAACGGATGATGAACGTTGTATGTTTTTGTATAACACTTGGAAACATCAAGCTCTTTGGTTGCAACATAAAAGCAAGCATGTGCTGCTACAGTTCACACATACCGATGACTGCCATGCATGCATATCAGTTTTTCTTATGAGATGCTTGTCACATGCTGCATTATCTGGCTTTCCACATTAGCAAGTAAGACTAAGCACAATTAATGTCACAGAGACCAAAACGCAAGTAAAACAAATTAATACTTCCATGGTTTTTGCTGTCATAGAAACCTGAAGGGAATGAATTATAATCCTGGTAAAATAAAACCACCAGTCCTGGAATATTAGGCTAGCCAGTATGAACAAAATAATATTCCTAAAGAATACTTCCGTATTAACTACCACTCTTCCTAATAGAGAGAAAAACAGTCTATAGGATTAGAGAATACAAATTTTGTAAAATCTTTTCTCTGACAAACCAAGTCATCAGAAAATAACTTATAAAATGCAAAGGTTACCCCTGTGAGCCATTTCATAGTAGTCACTTATATTAAGAAAACTCCTCCCTTTCTGGGACAACTATATCCTCCTTTGTTTACCTGGCTTGAGTATAACTGATACCAAATCAATCGTTAAGTAGAAGTCTTGAGAGTGGAAAAAATATTCCACGTTCCAAAAAGAATTGGGATTTTCCCACTGGTATAGATTCTTTCCTCATAAAAGGGGATAAAAAGCTCCCACTAAAACACCTCTAAAATAGAGGGACACTATTTTCATAATTAGGAAGACTTATGTAAAATACTTCCAAACATCAATCGATATTCCCTTCAGATTTTGCTAATGTGGATCACAGCTCTTGCACTGAATTTCATTATTTAAAATGAACCCCAACCCACCTCCTGTATGTTCTTTTTCCCAGCTTCCCTCACCATGTTTAGGTTGTTGTACAGAGAAATGTCTGTTCCCTGGTGGCCTCAAGGTAGATTCTAGTCTGTGAAATTTGTGAATTCTGTCTCTGACAAGAATAGCATTGTCCCTCTCATCGTGATTTGTGACCTCTCTGGCAAGATCCTTCTTTTGGACTACATTAGCAATCTCAGCTACAAGATCTGATTCTGCCTTTTCTGTAGGGTTATACTTATGCACATGAACAACATCTTCCCTTTCTCCTAGCAGCTTGGAAAGGAGTGAATAGAAATCACCTGCACAGAAAAGAGAAAAGATAAGAAGAGAGGAGGAAAAAAAACAATTATAACAGATTGCACAGTTTTCTAAAATTTCAGCAAAGTACAGTGTAATAAAGTTATTCAAAACAGTCATTGTCAGAAGCAGTATAAGAGGTGACTGCTTCAGTCTCATGAATTTGAATGAGCCACGTCTGTGGTACGAAAAAATAACATCGAACCTTTGTCATCTTTCATTTACATATAAATGTCCACTTTTACCTGACATTTTGACATGAAAAAAATCACAACCCAGTACAGATATTCTTGAGGGGAAAAAAATTTTAAAAAAAACCCCAAATTCTCATTACACGCATACTTCCTGAAAGTAGTATTTATAATGAGATTATCTGGATTATCAGACTATTGCAGACTTACTTATACAACAAAGATAAAAATCCTACAGTTTTATCAATTTATTCCACTTATAAAAACAGTAAGAGGCAGTCATACATTTCAAAATATGTTTCTTTGACATTTGTCATTACACAAGAAGCTTACGCTAATAAGAAAAATCCTCATACTTGCAAATAAGACTCCATACAACATGCTGCAGAAAGAAGATTGTTAAACGCAACAGTGGTCCATTACATTTTCAGTTCATGAAACTGTCATCGAACTACCCTGCTTCCCCAAAATAGTAAAAGCTCTCAGCCACAGTATCAGGTGGGAACGCAGGGAACAATAGTTTCTCAAGTTGCTTGCGAGCAAAGCAACTATCACTATAGTCGTCTTATAAAACAGCAAGCATTTCAGTAAGTTCCAGAACAACAGCCCCGAGAAAACCTCCCAAACTAAGTATGCAAAGTCCACAAGTCCTACTTTCCAGACATTATTAAAAAAAAAAAAAAAAAAATCAGGCTGTCTGAACTGGTATTAATCAAACCAATTTCCATTTAATCCTGGAAAAAGGATTTAAGTGATAACAAGTATATCCCTTTCCTTGGATTCTCTGCTAACCAGCACGTACCCAACCTGTTTGAATTTATTAGCCAAGTGTCTTGGCTGCCTTAAACTACTACCACTTCTGCTGGAATCAGCTGCAGTTACACCATCCGAATGGAAAGAGATATCCAATACACACTCGTTAATTTAAATAATTATACCTCTATTTCATTTTAAGTACAAATTGTTCATAATTAAGCATTTGTATTATTTCATTGTAGGGTACATAAACATTTCAGTAGAAAAGTAAAACTACAAGCTTTCACCAAAAAACCCCAAATCAAAACCATCACTAGCAGGTTAGGACAGAGGAAATTAAGTCTTCTGAAAATGACCTTAAGAGGTTCTGTCATGTTTATAAACCGTCCTAGTTCAATGATTTTGACTAGGCTTCCACTCCTTGCCCTTGCAAATGAAATATCCCAGGTGAAAACTTCTGTCAGAAAATAATTACAGAAGTAATAGGGCCTATTTCAATGAAATGAACAAAGCAAATTAGATCTGAGAAAAATTTGTTAAGCTAGTATGCTTCATAATCATAACACTGTCATTCAACTAGTCCAACTGCTGATTCAGAACAAACCCAGACATTTGAAAAGCATGATAAAATAGAAGGCTTTGGATGCAAACCATATTTATTCTGGGAAAGGTTTATAATTACTTTAATCAGGTTCAGTAGTCTCTACTTAAAGCAGCCAGGAATCGGTGCTGCTGTAGGAAAGTACTTGGAATTTTTCCTTTATCTAGTGTACCACATTCAGAATTAAAGTACTCTTCATTGGCCTTAACTGTGTTTTTGCTGTATTTTAAAAATGAAACAAAGTTCATAAGCACAAGTGCTTTTGTTTTATCCATGAGCAGAGTCCTGCAGATGAGCAAAGCCTACTGACTTCTCTGTACGCCACCACTTGCAAAGGAGAGGTCTGAATGGTAAAAGCAGCGTTTTGCCTAACGTAACCGGAAAAGTCTCCCTAAACCAGCAAGCCTAGTGATTATTTTACACATCATACCTTTTTAAAGCAACTTTAATACTCTTTGCTTAGTTCACTCTTTCTTAGTTCTGTATCAACACCCAATTCAAGTGACCAATTTGTAATCCTTGGTCACAATAAGTTGTTATATTTTGTATTTAAGTGTTAGATTCCTGACTCCTATGTTGATTTTTTGAACAAAAAGGTTTACCAGCTTGCTGCTTGAGCCAATAACATTGCATCTACTCTTTTCTGTGCACTGGCTGCCAAAGAATGATTAACTTACCATTATTACTCGCTGCTGATGTTTTTAAAAACACCAACAAAAAAACCCCACACCAACCAACCCACCCACCCACCCACCCCACACACCACTTGTGAGGATAAGGTACTTTCAGGGAGCCTTTTAAGGGAGCCTTTAAGGGAGACATTAATTGGAGATTGCTCCTACTTGTCTCCAGGCAGGTTGATCAGACTTACTCTTCTCCCAACAGCAAGCTCATCCAACAATCTTAAGAAAAAAGAACTTTCTAAACATAGGAGGATCGAGTGAGCTGGTTCGAGTAGGTCAGCAGCAGCAGCCACAGATGAGTCTCTGACAGAAAGTGATAAGAACCTGCTGCAAGCAAGCTGTCTTCCAATGCACAGATGGAAGTAATATGGCTGAACTAAACTTAAAGCTTGCAAGGGAAGATCAAGGCTGAGCTAAAGGAAAATATGTGCCCAGACCTTTCATATTTTATCTCTTCGCTCTGAATATGATGTTCCTTCAAGCAATGGATAAACAAGACAGACTTTGCTTTTCTGAATGACTTTAATCATAGGCTACGGCAGGGCCCAAAGGAAAAAGATTTTCCATATTGGGCTTGCGTATTAATGCTTTTAGTAAACAGGGGTGCTGTAACCTGGACACTTAAGAATGTTTAGGAACTGCCTGAATGAATGAAAAAGGGTACGCCTGAGAGACTGAAAGTGGTCTGAAGTGCAGCTACTCTGCAACAGTGATCTTTATCCTAATTAAATGTGGTTCTTTGAGAAAATGAGTTTGGCATCCCTATACTTTAAGTTGATAAGGTTCGTAAGGTCCATGAAACGTACATATCTGCCCAACAGCTCCTTGTGCTTGTACAAACAGGAGGCTGAAATCATCTGCTAATTTCTTGTCATCTTGACACTACTCTCAGTAGTTGCAAAGCAGAAATGATGGGTGTGGATCTGAAGAGGGGAAATAATGTCTTGAAAACTCCTGATAACTGAATGTCATCAACTGCTCCCTAAACTCTGCACATCTGAATAGATGCTCATATCATGTGGATCAGCCTCTTTAAACTTCCTTTGTGCTCCCTAGCTGGACACCAATATATTGTGAGCAACACCTTCGTAAGAAGTAGCTCAGAATTCACTATCGATAACTGGAAAACAGCAGATTCATGTTATCTCTGACAACAGTTACTATCTGCAGAGCAATATCCAGCAAACATCAAAACATGATGCTGTGCTGCTGTTATACAGATGTCTTGTACTGGCTGGAACAGCTGTTGCTTGCTCTCTAGTGGAGTGAAGATACTCATTGGGAAAGGAGCACCAGCAAGATGCACGGTGTTATTCATTTGGTTTGTCTCAGCTGAGGTACCTTGACCTTTAGAATACCCGAGTATTACTAGAAAAAGACATGGGGGAATGAACTGCTTGCTGCTGTTGAAATAATTAAAGTTCTAGCATGCATAATTTATTTTCTTCTAGTATTGAGTGCAGTCCCAGGAATAAAACACGGAAGCTAACTGACTCAGTTAGTTTTAGAGAGGATATATACATGAACTCTATATTGTGTGTAAGCTCCTAGGACTTTCCTCTATGTAATACAGTAATAAGACGACCAGCTACAAACAGCTGGAGTTTATTCTCTTTTCTGGATGAAGTGATAGCTGTCAAGACCACCATCTCCAGAATGGGACAACACAAAAACACATTTCAGTAAGCTTAAACTTGCATTCTATTGTCGTAAGTGCTATGTACTAGGAAAAAATCTTTTACAGAACAGCACTTTATTTCATTATACAACAAAACAAAATCATAATATCAGTGACTCCATCACAAACTGTGAGCTGAACCTCAACCTGATAAAAAAGTTAGTTACCTGATTCACTTAAGAGCAACACAACAGTTTTGTAACTTGACCACTGAGGTCTGGCTAGGAGCCAAATGCTATTGAACTGTCCAGATCTGGAAACAGTTCACATTCTTCACCTCTCTACTGTTATTCTCCCTGTTCGGAGAAAACAGTCCCTGTCCATGGTTCTCATGCAGCCTACGCTTATGCTGTTGGATGTGCCAATCCCCAAGCTGGGTGAAGCATCTGGCCATGGTGCTGCAAGATCAACCCGAGAGAGGAGAAGTTCAACCACAGCCAGCCTGGCAGAGGCTGACAGTTGAGGCCATGAAAACGATATAGGTTTGTCCACTCTCATCTAGGAAAGCATTCCAGAAAATAAACAACCCCTGAACCCCCATAAAATAGGAACGTCTTCCACTGCGGGTTCCCTATGAAAAACAAAATCACCTGACACTTGGTATCATCATTAACAACATGACAAACATATCTTTTACAGGAACTTCTAGTAGTAGGAGCATTATTCTGTGACAGATCTGGGTAAAGACTCTGTTTGGTCATGCACTACTTCCCCAGCAAATCTGCTAGTCTCATGCTAGAGAAAAAGGTCATCAGGATTACCCCTTCTGATGGCCCCAACTACTTAATTCTTTTTCTGGAATAGGAACACAAAACAGGTAGTCCAGACTTCATATATACATATCCCCCTCCCTTGTATGTGTATGCAGGTATGAATGCACAGCTGTCAAGATACATATGGGAAAACTCATTTTACTGCATTTTAGAGAAAAAGACAGGGACACCACTGTCAGTCTGATAACCCTCATCTCCAGAATATGTATTTGTCTCATACGGCCTGTACAGCACCTGAGGCGGTCTAGATAGGCTCCTTGGTCTGTTTCTGGCAGCTCCAGATTTTTGCCAGGAATCAAACTGAATAGGCTTTCAAATGC